CCCAACAGAAGTAGCAGATCTGTCCATTCAAGTGACAATATTGTTTTGCAAACTTTTTTTCTCGGGCGATAGACAGCATAGCAAAAGTCCAAATGATGCTTTATAATAACCGCAACTAATTTACAGCTCTGTATAAAGTCCCCACCCTTGCTGCAAAATCTAATGTGGTTGTTAGAACTTCGACCACGCGATTCATATTGCCCATAGCGGGCGTGAGATTGCTTAGAAGACGTCTACACAAAACTTTAATAATTGTGAAAACTGGGGTAGCAGACAAGCGGAATTTAGTATTCATTACATGGGGCTTGTGGCTTAAAACTCAAAGATGGAAAAAAATGGAAAAGAAACCGACTTTTTATGGCTGAATCCTTTTTGTCCATAATGTTCATCGACTTTTTTGCTTTTGTCGCAGACGGCCATGAACCAAGTGTAGCCGGCCAACAATCTTTCGGGCCAACCGAGAACCTTTCGATTGGCTAGATGGAAGCTTGGTTCCAAATCCAGGACTGATACCGCGTCCGCTGAAAGAAGATTGTTATCAACTTCTGACATCCGAGAAGGAAGAGGTGCCTTTTTAATTCTATTGAGTTGGTAGCCAAAGTAGTCCGTCATAGAAATTTTGGAACCATTGATTATAAGCTGAGGAATGTGTTCGCTGAAACTCGCTGCTATATTTATGATAGAAAGTGACAGAAAAAAGGAGACTCCTTTAGTGTTGTCGAGCAACTTTCTCAACAGGCAAAAAATGGTAGGACCAATTCGATGATCTTTTCAGTTTTCGGCATTAATGAGGCACATGAGTCAAGATTGAAAACAGTTCAGATTACACGATAAATATGACCTCCAGTTGTATAAAACACACGATATTCTTGGAACTCACCATACCATGTTCGAAGAAAAGCTCGTCCTCGGCGTGGCCTCAGCTTTCTCCACTCTTGCTATCGTTGCCTGCTTAGTGGTTGTGCCTTCATTATATAATACAATCAACGAGATCCACGATGAGGTTCTTGATGGGGTCTCGGTATTCCGTGTAGAAACCGACTCTGCATGGGCTCAGATGATGGGCTTCCAACTCGCGATTACTCCCAAATCTAAGCCCCGCGACAACCCCTTCAACTCGATTTTTCGTCAAAAGAGGCAGACTGGTCTTCCCTCATATTGTCAATGTACACCTCCCACTGTTAACTGCCCTCCAGGACCTCCAGGACCACCAGGAGCACCAGGACAACCAGGTTTGTAATTTTTTCCACTAAATCATGAAATTTCATGGTATCTTATCGGAAATAACAGTAAAAAATGCGACTATGCTGCCTGCGC